TCCCACCAGTTCTGCGTGTACCTCCTGGTCTTCAGCGTCGGTTTCACCTCCTGAGTGGCAGCGTTGCCCGCTCCTGTTCACGTAGGGCGTAATTTAGAGTTCGGCGCGGCTGCCTCTTCTCTTGACGGCGCGCGGTTGGACCGCGACGCTCGCGAACAAAAAAGTATCCCCACCAGCGGGTTGCCCCACGCCGCAGCCACGGGACACCACACTGCCAGCTAATGACCCGCCATTTTGGCGTGCACCTCCGGCGGCTACTAGCTGCCGATGGCACCCCTTCCGTGAGCGCCGCGCGGCCCGCCCCGGCCTGTCTCACCGCCCGCTGTTCTCTTGTCGTTGTCTCTCTTCTCTCTTCTCTCTCGTGTGCAATTTAGGCTGCTGCTAAGCTGTATATTTGGACGGCGCGCGGCACTTCCGTCTGCGTTCGCGAACGAAAATCTTTCACCAGCCCATTCAGAAACCTTGCCCTTCAGAGCTGACAGGGCAACGGACGAAGAGACACATTTAGGGAAACAGATCGAGCAAGGGTGTGGCCTTGGAAGGCCTCTTCGAGCCATCCATGGGCGCCGCATGGGGGCGAGGGGAAGAGGATGGGGATGGGGCTCGAGGACGAGGAGGACGAGGACGAGGACGAGGACGAGGACGAGGACGAGGAGGACGAGGAGGACAAGGGCGCGGATGAGGACGAGAAAGACGAGGACCAGGATGAGGACGACGCGGACGAGGATCCATGGAACCATCTAAAGGTATTATTGCGCTTGTTGCTGCTGCTCGAGCTAAAGCTCGGGCGTTCTCACGACTAGGAAAACTGAAACACGACAAGAGAAAACTGAAATACGACAAGGCACGGCTTATTCACGACAAGCATTTTCGGCGCCCACTTTCGCCGCCCATTTTCGGCGCCCACTTTCGCCGCCCACTTTCGGCGCCCACTTTCGCCGCCCACTTTCGGCGCCCACTTTCGCCGCCCACTTTCGCCGCCCACTTTCGCCGCCCACTTTCGGCGCCCACTTTCAGCGCCCACTTTCGGCGCCCACTTTCGCCGCCCACTTTCGGCGCCCACTTTCGGCGCCCACTTTTGCCGCCCATTCTCGGCGCCCACTTTCGCCGCCCACTTTCGCCGCCCACTTTCGCCGCCCACTTTCGCCGCCCACTTTCGCCGCCCACTTTCGCCGCCCACTTTCGCCGCCCACTTTCGCCGCCCACTTTCGCCGCCCACTTTCGCCGCCCACTTTCGCCGCCCACTTTCGCCGCCCACTTTCGCCGCCCACTTTCGCCGCCCACTTTTTCGCCGCCCACTCCGCCCACTTCGCCGCCCACTTTTTCGGCGCCCACGTTCGGCGCCCACTTTCGCCGCCCACTTTCGCCGCCCACTTTCGCCGCCCACTTTCGCCGCCCCTTTTTTTTCGCCGCCCACTTTCGCCGCCCACGTTTGGCGCCACTTTCGGCGCCCGCTTTCGGCGCCCACTTTCGGCGCTCACTTTCGCCGCCCACGTTCGCAGCCCACTTTCGCCGCCCACGTTCGGCGCCCACTTTCGCCGCCCACGCCCACTTTCGCCCACTTTCGCCGCCCACTTTCGGCGCCCACTTTCGCCCACTTTCGGCGCCCACTTTCGGCGCCCACTTTCGGCGCCCACTTTCGGCGCCCACTTTCGGCGCCCACTTTCGGCGCCCACTTTCGGCGCCCACTTTCGGCGCCCACTTTCGCCGCCCACTTTCGGCGCCCACTTTCGCCGCCCACGTTCGCCGCCCACGCGCGCCCACGTTCGCCGAAAGTGGGCGCCAAAGTGGGCGGCGAAAGTGGGCGGCGAAAGTGGGCGCCGAAAGTGGGCGCCGAACGTGGGCGAAAGTGGGCGCCGAAAGTGGGCGCCGAAAGTGGGCGCCGAAAGTGGGCGCCGAATGTGGGCGCCGAAAGTGGGCGCCGAAGGTGGGCGCCGAAAGTGGGCGCCGAAAGTGGGCGCCGAAAGTGGGCGCCGAAAGTGGGCGCCGAAAGTGGGCGCCGAAAGTGGGCGGCGAAAGTGGGCGGCGAAAGTGGGCGGCGAACGTGGGCGGCGAAAGTGGGCGGCGAAAGTGGGCGCCGAAAGTGGGCGCCGAAAGTGGGCGCCGAAAGTGGGCGCCGAAAGTGGGCGGCGAAAGCGGGCGCCGAAAGTGGGCGCCGAAAGTGGGCGGCGAGCGTGGGCTTGTTTGTCGTGAATCTGTCTCGTCCTTGTCGTGAAGCTGCTTGTCGCGAAACCATCCCGGCCATGCTCGAGCTCTCTGGAAGTTCCAGGGGCCCTCCTGGAACCCTCTTGGTAACCCTGGAAGGTTTCTTGGGATCATATTGGAGGCCATCGATTACAGGATGGGGGGTCCCCAACTCAGCTCCCCCCATCAGGAGCCGACGAACCGTTTCTTGAGGCTCTTTTGGAGCGCTCCTGGGCGCTCCTGGGGCGGCCTTGGGACCGTTAGGAACATCGTGGGAGCCATCTTGAGCCAGCCTGGGCTACCTGAGACCGATCGGAGGCCTCTTGGGGGCCTTTCGGGTGCCTTGTGGGGCCCTTTTGGGACCCTGTTGGAGCCCTCTTGGGGCTCTCATGGGAGCCCTGGAACACCTTTTGGGGCCATCTTCGAAGCTATCGATCAAAGGAAGGAGGGTCCCGATCGGCGCCCCCCCCCCCCCCCATGGAGGCTGCCTTCCCAGGGACCGATTCTGGACGCTCCAACGGATCGCGGCCCCTCCCGTCCAGGTCCTGGGGAGGGCGTAGGGGGAGGGGTGAACCCCTCCCCGAAGGGGAAGAAGGGCTTTTTGGCAGAGGAAAGAAAATCATCGTTAGACCACCTGCGCCCAGAGGTCTGGTGGTATTATTGGTTTGTTCCCCATTCTCTTCCACGTGGCAGTTCGAGCAGAATTGCATGGTTGCCTGTCCCGCAGGCGTTGCAGGAGGCAGGAGGGAGGAGGAAGCAGGAACATGAGGAGGAGGAGGAGGAGGAGGAGGAGAGGGAGGGAGGAGGGATGGCAAGGGAGGGAGGAGAAGGGAGGGGAGGCAGGAGGCAAGAGGAGGAGTAAGGAGGGAGGAGGGACAAGGGGGGAGAGGAGGGTAGGAGGCGTGGGAGGACAAGCGGGGATGTGGAGGTGGAGGAGGGAGGAGGGGGAGGTGGGAGGATCGGAAGGACGGCGAGAAGGACGGGGAGGAACGAGGAGGAGAGGTGGAGGACGAGCGAGGAGGGGGAGCGAGGAGAGGGAGGAGGGTGGCGGAAGGAGGAAGAGGAACGCAGAGCAATGCAATGTAACGGATCGTACGACTGCGCCACAAGGAAAGAATTGATGCCGGGCTTCACAGTGTACATCAATGGGCGGAACGGGTGAGGAGGACGAGGAGCAGGAGGAGAAGGAGGAGGAAGAGGAGGATGTCGGTTCTCAGGACCCCCCTTGGGTGAGGAAGCCGTTGGCACACAAGTGGGAGTGGGGGAGGATGTTAAAGGGGAACAGGAAGGAAGTCGTCGGCTCAGTGGAGGAGGCGGGGGAGACGGGGACGGAGTTTTCCAGCTGCGCGCCTGATCGCCCGGGCGCGGTTTGGTGGCCGCCTCGGGGAAGCGAGTCAGGGAGGAGGGTGACGGAGGGGGAGCAGTCGCACAGGCGGGCGACCGGGCGCGGGCGGGCGGGCGAGCGGGCGGGCGGGCGGGCGGGCGGGCGGGGCTGGCTGGCGGGCAAGCGAGCGGGCGGGCAAGCGAACGGGCGCGCGCGTTGGCGGGCGGACGTGTGGGCGGGCGGGCAAGAACCCAGGCGGGTGCGCGCGTGCGGGCAAGAATCCGCTCGGATTTCCGGGCCGTTCTTTAGATGTTTGTCGTTGAGCCTGTTTGTGGTCAAGGCCCGCTGTGGCCAGAAAGGCCTCACCGTTCTGTACTACGGTCGCACAACGGGTGTCTACTCAAAGCTCGAGCGGCTGCGTCCGCATGTCGTCATTGCACCCACGCTTGCGCATTGCTTGCAGCTTCGTGATGCCTTCTGCCTTTGCCGCTCTCTCTCTCTCTCTCTCTCTCCTCCTGCATGGTGGCGTCTGCTCGCTGTGTTTTTCTGCATCCTGCTCGTCCTCCTCCTCCTCCTCCTCCTCCTCCTCCTCCTCCTCCTCCTCCTCCTCCTCCTCCTCCGCCACCCGCGCGGCGAATGCTCGCGCGGGGCGCCCGCTGGTACGCTAGCGTGCAGCGCGGGTATGTGATTGCTAGATCGAGTTGCGACCCCACGATGCGCTCGTACTTGTTTCGCCTGCTTTGGTTTCGTCCGCTTTGGTTTTGCCTGCTTCTGCTAATTCTGAGTTTGTTTCGCCCGCTTTTGAAAAAGATGAATTACAACCGGATGATGTTCAACCTGGCGAATTCAAACCGGGCGAATCAGAACCAGATGAATGCAAACCCAGCGATTTGCAACAGGACGAAGTTTAATTGGGCGAATTGAAATCGATTGAATTTAGACCGGGCGAATTCAAACCGGATGAATTCAAACCAGGCGAAGTCAAACCAGTTGAACTTGAACCAGGCGAACTACAAACGGGGCGAATAGAGCCGCCAGATGATTTTAAATTGGGGGAAATAGAACTGATAATTTTTGAGGGTGATTTGACGGGGCGAACGAACAAACACGCGAATTATAATCATATGAACTACACCGGATGATTTCAAACCGTGTGGGATTCAACCAGGTGCATTTGAGTGTGGGCGAAATTTTAATTGGTGGATGTTAATCCGGGCGAATTGTTTTTCAGGTGCAATTCAACGGGTGCAATTGCATGGGTGCATCTTCACGGGCGAGTCTAAACTTAACTAAACGGGTGAATTCGTGCCGAAATAGATTCGGGTGAAACAGAGCAAAGTCCTCGCCGTCTCCGCCCCCCACCCCCGTCCTCGGCGTCCCAGCGCACCCGGCTTGCCCCTCCTCCCTCTCAGCAGTCCAGCGCCGACAGCAGAAGTCCGCGCCGTCCCCCTCGGGGGGGACGCGCGCCGCCCGCCGCCCTGCGCGGCCCGAGGCTGCGGGGTCCGTGACGGAGCGCGGCGGCGCGGGTGCCCCGAGACTCGTGCGCCCCTTGCCGAGCGGGCAAAGGGA